TCGTTGGTTAATAACTCTAGTCTGTACTGGTTCATTGGTAAGCGTTTCCATATAATGGCGCTCAATCGCATGCCCGGCAAAACATCGTTGGGATGCATTCTAATCTAGTCTATTTGGTAAGCGTGTTCAAACAATGGCGCTCGTTCCAAGACCAAGGTTGTATTGGAAGTCGTGCTGAGGGCCTGCATGGCCGCTGGAATGTAAAGAGAGTGGTCGCAAGCGACACCCCCGGGGTATCTATTGTCCCCCCCCCGAGAAGGTTAGGTTTGACGGCGCGAAGGTGGCTCCGTGCCCTTTGACATCTATTCCACCGTATTAAAAACGCATATGGATCAAGACAAAACAAAAAACCAAAACCTGAGCCTTCGAGCTCAAAGACTATGCCCCCGGGCAGTCAAAGTGAGATTAAAGAGATGTGACGCGACAACGGAGAAAAAACTGATCTCGAGTTCGAAGTCGGAGTCGCTAAGTCACAATAGCAACCTTCGAGTTGCCCGGATCATATTAGAAAGATGCGACAGAAATATGACAAAACGAAACAAAGTTTCGTCTTCGGGAAGAGCGACCAGCCCAGTCGCAATCCCGCAAACTTCCCCGAATAGACAAACCTCAAAAGAGGTAATGGACCCAGAACGAGGTCATACTCACAGCTTTCGAACTGCCCGCATCGTATTAGAAAGATGCGATAGAGATGTGTCGAAACGAAACAAAGTTTCGCCTTCGGGAGGAGCGACCAGCCCAGTCGCAATCCCGCAAACCTCCACGGACATTGAGACTACGGGAGTTAGGATACTGCAGCTGAATATGGGCCGTTCGGCAGCAGTAACGGGTGAGGTGCGTCAGCTCGTTGCAGAGAAGCGACTTGACGTTCTGTTATTGCAGGAACCATACGTCAAGAAGCAGGGCAAGAGCCACACCTTCTACGGACCTTCTAGGGACGGGGATGCGCGTGGCTGCCGTACGCTCGCAAAGACCGTGGGCAATGGTAGCGGTATGCAATCCCCAAATCTAGATAATGTTCGTCTCGCAGCTTAGCACGACCCACTGTGTGTGTGCGGAAGTGCAGGCACCCGGCTACTCTTTTTATGTCGCATCGTGCTACTTTCAATACAGCGATAAAATAGAGGAGCACCT